CATGTGAGTTTTACTACTCTTGACTTTTCTTGGATGCTCTTAGCAATGCTTAGTTGAAACTATGTCACTATAGGCACACAACACCCGTCAAAATTTTTGTCTTGTTCCTCCCCAGACATTCGCATGCTATATTCTTAATTTTCTGTTAGTTTGACCAATTATTTAAGATGCAGGTTATAACTTTGTATATGGTTTACAGTAGTTTTTCGTTAGTCTAAATGAATGAGCAATCAAATAACTTGTATATAATTTTTGTCCGACAGTCAATCTTTACTGGAGATGGGGACGCAAGATATGAGTTTTGTACAACTTAATCAGTTGATTGGAAGGAAAACCGGTGGGATATCAGTTTATCCCTTTACATCCTCTGTGTGGGGCAGTGATGTTCCATGTAGCAAAATTATTGTTCGTGGAAAATCCATGGTTGGACGGGCTGAAGACCTTTTTAACCTGGTAATTGTTTTTAACATCTTTAACTTAGTACAAGTAGCTTGAGATTTTCCTTTGTTTATGTAGAGTTTTCTAGCTGATACGTGAACAGTTTTCTTGGGTCTTCAAGAAATATACTGCAAGTTTTTAACTTTTGCGTCATGTCTTTTAACTAGTTATTTTCGTGTTGTTGCTCAGTCGTTATACTTACAACACCGTACCAGAAATCAAAACCCGTCTCTTATATTTGTGTCTATATCTATTGAATATCTCTTTGTCTCCTGATTTTGGCCTCTTAAAGCAGGAATTCTCCCTTATTATCTGTCCCATTTCCAGAGCAGTATCTGATGTTATGTTTGTGTGTTCAACGTAGAGTAAAGAGCTAAACTAAACAATCAGTCACTACTTGAAAACTGTTCTTGTTAGATTTAGCCTGTAATAGTATGTGGACACTGTAGCTAATCCCAAGTCGAGCGCTGAATTCAGAAAATAATCCCTAACTTTCGAGTTTCTAAAGGAAGAAACACTGTAGAAAATAGAATGTAACCTTAGTTTGATTCAAGAGCGATGCGATTCTTTAAATTCTAGATTATTTCCAATAAAAGTTGTAGTTTGTTACTTAAGCTTCATTTGCTTTTATCTTGCTGCAGATGAATTGTGTGCTGCAAGAGGTTCGATTTACAGATAAACAGCGGTTTAAACAATTCGTCTCTCAGAGTAGAGCACGGATGGAGGTATGTAGATCTTTCTTCCTCCTGCACTCTAAGTAGAACACGGATGTAGTAAAATGACACCAACTCGTATGCATTTTAGAACCGATTGAGGGGAAGTGGTCAAGGAATCGCTGCTGCAAGGATGGATGCAATGTTGAACGCTGCTGGATGGATGTCTGAACAGATGAATGGTCTCAGGTTGGAACTTGATAACTCTTTTCTTATAGTGTTAGTTTTAATTTGCTTCTGAAACTAGTAAAGCCTAATAGACTTTTACTTTTCTTTTTCTAGTTACCTTGAATTTCTACATACTCTGGAACAGAAGGTGGAACAAGACTGGGAAGGGATCTCATCCTCACTTGAAGAAATCAGAACATCTCTCCTTTCTAAGACTGGTTGCATAGTTAATATGACTGCTGATGGGAAGTCTCTCACAAGCACGGAAAAATATATTGGGAAGTTCCTTGATTTACTCCCTGAAAAGCCTTCTGGTGGGCAAGTCACTTGTGATGCACGTCTTCCTTTGAGAAATGAAGCTATTGTAGTACCAACCCAGGTAAATAAAATGAAAACCCTTTTCTATATTCTGTGTCCTTTGGTGCGTACCCGTTTTCTAATTATACCACATTCTTATATACGCTTTCTCAACAGGTGAACTATGTGGGAAAAGCAGGTAACATATACAGCAGTGGATACAAGCTTGATGGGAGTTCATATGTTATCTCAAAGCATATTGGTAACACATGGCTATGGGATCGTGTTCGTGTAAGTGGTGGCGCATATGGAGGTTTCTGTGATTTCGATTCACATTCAGGTCAACTCCTTTCCTTATTCCTTATTTCTTCACTAATTGGAAAGAGAGTTTTCATTATGTTACGAACTTCTCCTACAGACCTGACCTTTAGATATTCTCTTGCTCAGGTGTGTTTTCGTTCTTATCTTACCGTGATCCCAACTTACTGAAGACACTAGACATATATGATGGAACTGGAGACTTTTTACGTGGCCTTGATGTCGATGAAGACACCCTTACTAAAGCAGTTATTGGGACAATTGGGGACGTTGATTCATACCAGCTCCCTGATGCCAAAGGTTACAGCAGGTATAATGTTCAATTCTGCAGGCTCTGTCTTTTTAAAAACTAAGTGATGGGTTGTGAATCTGATTTCTGTTCTCTGTCACCAGTTTGTTGAGGCGTTTGCTTAATGTAACTGACGAAGAAAGGCAGATAAGGCGTGAAGAGATATTATCAACAAGGTTCATATCATTCTCTCGTTTTAGCACTTTCTTGAACAGAATACAAAACTAACTTCTTGTTTTCTTTTTTTATCACAGTTTGAAGGACTTTAAGGAATTTGCAGAGGCGGTGGACTCTGTTAGAGATAAAGGTGTTGCAGTGGCCGTGGCATCACAAGAAGACATTGATGGAGCAAACAAAGAACGCTCAAACTTTTTCGAGGTGAAGAAAGCTCTATGAGTCTTTGAGACCCTCTTAATGAAGTAAGAAGCTTTCTTAGGTTCATGGTACGACGCATCAAATCTCTAAGCTCACCTTTTTAGGTTCTCCTTCACTATACTTACAAAGCTATAATGCCAACATCATGATCTATCATAGTGGAATGAAAGCATTTTAACCTTTCACTTTATGAAATTTACCAAATTACTAAAACACGGGTTTAACCACTGTTGCATTCGAGGAATTTTTTGTACCTTTCAGGCTTTGAGCCAGGCCTTGTTAGTTCACATGTGGTTCAAAATGATGACTCTGAACTGTGCATTGTTTGCTAAAACAAATGACTCAGATAAAAAGAGATGAATCTATAACTCAACCTGTATCCTGATCTTGTTAGTGTCATGCATTTCATGCTTCCCAATAATAGTCTCTTAATGACATTTATGAACTAAAATATGAATGGAAGTAAAGAAATTGAAGAGAGAATGAGAGAAATTTCTTATATACTATTTTTTTTTTTTGATATTTAAAGAAAACCTTTGACACTTTTTATCACATTATTAGTTAGCTTATTCTAATTAGTTAGTTAGATTAAAGATATTGGTATTTTATTTATTAAAAATCCAAGTAGAAAAACTTTTTTTTGTTGAAAGTGCTCTTAAACAGGTCAAGTGAAATTGAAACTTTACCTTAAAAAGCATCAAGAATCTCTAGGTTACATTTTTTGGGTAAAATAATCTTTACTAACATCAATTCATAAAGATACTTTTATGAGGAAAATAGTCCAGAAAGGTTATCATTGAACGTTTATCTTTTCTTACATCTCTCCTTATACTACCACCACTATGTTTGAAAAACATCATATAGTAATCATACAGAACTCCGATTCCGTCAGTAGCATTGAAATAACAGCATCGTGGCTACAAATATTCTCTGATACATTTTTTTTATTTGAAAAGGAACATTCCCTTCTGCCAAATAAAATATTAAGCAATCGTATTTTTCAAATAATCGCAATTTGATGTGATCAATAGTGGATTCTTGACTTGGGTACTCGATTCTATGAGCAAACGCAAGTAATAAGCGAATACAAAACATACAACCAACTCAAACATTTGTTACAACTTCGATCCTTATTTTTGGTAGATTTTAAGACGTTCGTCTGTTCAGTATTTGTTTTGATTTATAATATTGTTAGAGGTCGAACTAGCTAAAACATCCCAAGTCCCAACTATATAATCCTTCTATTTGTTAAATAAATATTTTTGAAATAGCTTGTTTTCAAACCTCTTTTTAGTTTTATATTTTTAAATGTAATAATATTATTTTAAAATTATTAAATTTACTGAAAAATTCTAGTCACAAATTAAACTCTTGAAATTTGAATTTAGTGAATTACTATTGGTTTGAAATTATTGAAATTTGCTAGTCATAGACAATAATGTATTTATAGTCAAATTTTGTTTTTTCTAATATATGTGAAATCTTTAAAAAACAATAATTTGAAACATAGTGAATAAATGTATAATCGACATTTATGTCTACCCTAACTAAATGCTATTTTCACCCCAAGTAAATAGACTTGTCAGCACAAACAATATTTGTAACGGTCAATAGTTATTACTCATTTATTATTATTTTTTCACTACAAATTTCTCCAAAATGGTCCCTATTTGCCTTAAGGGGTAAAAAACAAAGCATGACATTTATGTGTAAAATTCTTAAAACCCATTCTGGACATATATGTGTAGATTCCGTGTAAGAGCTGTATCATTATATGTTTTTGTTGTTGTTCTCATTTAATAACACTATTGTTTGGATAATTACATTTATTAGTTATGTCTCCAAGTGTTACTCGTAAGCAACTGAATGCTTTAGGGCCCCCCTCACGGCTTAGTTAGGCTTCTAATTTGAACTAGGATCTAATCTATGTATCCAGGGCTATCCAAATGTATATGGATCATAACTAATGATTGATATGTAAATGAGAGCTTATATTTGAAAATGTGCATGAATAAAACTTGCGAGGAAAGACAATAGCATTGAAATAAAAATCAAGAAATAAATACTACATTTAAAAATATTTTAGTTTACGGTTAAAATGTTTAGTTTTCTTCTTATAAAATCTATGATTATCATAGTAAATAGTTAGTGCAAGAAATATAATACTAAAAACTTAAAACTGTAGTTTATGGTTAACATGTTTAGTTTTCCTGTTATAAAATCTGAGATTAGCTTTATATATAGTTATTATTACTACTTTTTGAATTTTTTCGGTCACATATTTAGTAATGTACTTTTGTGTAAGAAACTGAAATCCTATTAAAAGTGGGTAAGCTAATAGTATAGTTCTAGTAATTGTATTGTAATAAAATTTTACATATTTTCCACGGAGAATTTTGTTTAGTACTAATATAGTTCTACTGTTGACAGGAAAGTGAGGAGGACGTTTTGGCGTTTGCTTTAAAAGGAAGCTAAAGAGGGCACCGTTGTTCGAATCCCGACGGCGTCTGGGTAGGAAAGCGAAGCTCCGTAACGGTGCCGTTACCTGCTTCCCCGTGAACGGAACAGTGAGAGAGAGTGACCCCACTCAAAACGGCAACACAACCGCCAGCCAAGGAAACGAATTAAATCTCAGCCGTTGAAATAATCAACGGCTCCTGACCATTTCTTTCATCTTCTTCCCCCACATAAACCCTTTCCCCTGTTTTTTTAATTTAACCAGAAAAACCTCTTAAAACTTTTACAAGTGTCCACAGAGAAGAATGAAGGAGATGAGCGAGAGAGATTCTAAAGAGACCAGTTTCGAAGGATCAAGCATCAAGAGGATGAGACTCCATGATGATGATGATGATTCTGAGGTCTTACGCTCACTGGAGAGAACGGTTTCCTCTTCTTCTTCTTCTTCTCTGGCTTACTCTGCTGCTTCAGATTCAGGAGAAGAAGAGGATCATCGGAGCTCAAGCGTCACCTCAGGCTGTTCTAGCAGCGAAACTAACGATACTCATACTCGTCTGCCCTTTTTAGATCTCGAGGTTTTTATTTTAAAATTCCTATTTACGTTTTGATTTTCTTCCATTTTTTGTCAAAAATAAATGCTTTCTCTAACAGTAAAAGATCTTCTTACGTTTTTGCTTTCAAGACCAACAATTAATTAATTTGATTGTTTTTTATTTCCGAACAGCAAATCTCCGAAACCGAAACCTCGACGTTAATGATCAGGTAACGTTACAAAAGCTTCTCACTTTCTTTCATCGTTTCCACTATAAATTCATCCTCTCACCTTCTTTAGTTTCTGAGCAGAACACAAAGAAGCGAGATTCTGGGAGAAACAGCTGAAATGGACTCGGCCACGACGACGGTGAAGACAGAGAAGAAAGATCGGAAAAAGCAAGAGAAGAAGGAAAAAGCACCGACGCAGGCTGAGCTTGAGGACTTCTTCTCGGCGGCGGAGAGATGCCAACAGAAACGATTCACGGACAAGTAAAGTTTCTTTTCCTCTGGAAATGCGCATATTATTATTCATTAACCCACGAGCGTATTTTAGCAATGATCCTTAAAAAAAAACGTGCACTTTTGATGAACACACAGGTACAACTACGATATCGTTAATGATACGCCGCTTGAAGGTCGTTACGAGTGGGTTACTCTCAAGCCATAAAAAGCTGAATAAGAAGAAGAAGAAAGAAGTGGTCTCATGCTAAAGTTACACGACGTACTAGTACTACTCTGTGAGTTTTGTCACAGACACAAGAGAATCTCATAGCTTAGGATCCTTTTTCATTTCGTTATTGTACAGTCCTCTCCTCTCTTAGCTTCATTTTAGTTTCCTTATTGTTCTTCTTCTTATTGTTCTTCGTACCATGAGAACCAAACAAAAGGACGCAGCTTTCTTTTCCAACTGACGGAAATTTTTTTTTTTTTTAAGTCTAGTTTAACTATCAAAATTATAACTGTTTGAATTTGTTTCAAAACTTGAATTTGAATGTCGAGTTTAATTCTCCATCCGTATTTACTTGACGAGCACACCAAAATAAAGTAGTATTCTTTTAGTTTTTGAAAGAGATAGTGAAATATTTATTGTGTCAGTAAAGCTGGACCTTTTTGTCAGTTATGTAGAGTTGGTGGAGCTATGCACATTGTTTGCATTTCATGAATTTTGTAGCTTATCATTTAATTTAGAAAGCTATTTATTGTTTTGTTTCTCATTTTGGATCGATGTTTTACAGTATTTGTGCTTTGTGTTTGTTTGTATTGTAACGTTTTGTTTATCCTAGTGTAGGTAATATTTGATTTTAAGAAGAAAAAAAAAACAAAATTTGGACATATATAGTTTTCAAAGTGTATATATACAGCTGGTATGTACTTGTTTTCGTATAAAGAGTTAATAATATTCCTGGTAAAAGTATTTTTGAAAAATGAATGAAATTGAGAATACTTTCAGTGGGATCCACTACGATGATAAAAGAGGATCTCATCATTTCCTGATTCCGTTGGGATTATATTCCCTTTTATCTCTTTCTTGCAGCAGACAAAGGCGCGTGGCTGCACGTGCTTTCTGTTATTTTAGTTTTCCCATTTTTATTCCATTTTCGAGCAACCGCCTCTTAACTTAAAAAGCACGATTTTCCCCCCGGAAGAAATTCTACAACTCATAGAATACTGAAGGAAAAAAAAAAGAATTGTTGAGCCGTTCAAATTAAACGTCAACATCAGATAACCTCTACCAACTATTAACTAGCCACATGAAGTTTTTTAATTGGCTAAAAGAAAAAGAAAAACAGGCCACATGAAGTTCGCTGCTGTCAATGCAGCTAAAGAATTGAAATATGTGTTGTTACTGTTCTTACCGTGCCAGATTATTTAGTAGAAAAATTACAAGTTGAAAAGATTAAAATGAATAAATAAATGACTGACAACAATAATCCTACTTTTTTTGTTCAACAGAAAGGACCATAAATCTGGAGCGGAGACTGAAAAATAATGTAACACTAGATTTTGACCCGCGCAAT